CGGTGGAGTTCGCTGGCTACGAGCTTCCCCGAAGCCCCGTGCTGACCGAACCTGACACCAATAACCTGCAACTAAACATGCACCAGCATCTTTTCAGTCCATGGACATCTCCTCCAAGTTAGCGCCTTTGGCTTCAGATCCACACACAGTCCAAGTGAATCGTGTTGAGATCCAGAGGACCTTTTCCCCCTTTGGGGAATTCTGCACGACGAATGCCCAGCCAGTTTGGGGGCAGCATTTCTGACACTGAGTTTGACCTGTATACTCCCATTGGGATCAACTATTTCAATACTTAGTAGCACAGTCAGAGGTCAGCCACTTTTCAAGGTGTGGGAACCATCATCTTGTGATGCCTGTATTTTATGAGATCTCCAGATCTTGGGAGATGTTACAATGTCATCCCCAAACCTTACGTGAGAACACTAACATCTCATAAGGTTTAGGGGATCTTGTGGGATTTGGTCCATTAAGAAAAAGAATTAAATTTTTTGTAATGCTTGTGTCCAGGGGAGCTCTTTGTAGGTGTGACAGGTGCTTTGACATCTGCAGGTACGTTGTTGGTATGTTCCTTTGGAGATGGGGGAAGAAGAGGCAAGTGAGTTTTCATGGCCAAGTATGTTCATGGGAAACAGCCCACACCAGATTGCTTGACTAAACCAGAGCAAAGCGAAGTGAAAGTAATTCCAAGGTCTTCTGGGAAGGGTGGAAAAATCACTTCTTTTTGGTGTTTTGGCAGGTCTCTTATTTAGAGCAGCTGCTTTGCTGTGTGGAAGCTCTCATTGAGCTGTGCCAGGAAGACTGCAAAGAAATAAGCCTCCAACTCACCAAGGTTTTGGTGACCATCATGGCAATACCAAGTGCTGGACGTTTACATGTAAAGGTAACAACCCTGACTACCTGCTGTTCGGCTCTTTTGTCGCATTAAGCAGAATGTGATTCGACACCTGGAACAAGCTGGGATGTTAATCGACACTTTTTCACAATTCCAGAATTGACTAACAGAGGCTATTTAAAAAAAAACCTCATAGATGCACAAAGTACAGGGTTGGTTAACCTCAGTCCACCTCCTATACCTGCCCGTATAAAGTGTTTCCTATAAACCATAAATCTTCTAATAAGTCAGATCAGTGATCCAGTGATCTTGCCTAGCGGACAGTGGCTAATAACACTGTTATTACAACATGTCCTTGGCAGGATCTGGCTCTCTGACATTTTTGCAACAGGGATGCTATGCATGGAATTAATTTTTTTTTTCTTCATGCAAAGCATACATTTTATCCCTGAGCTTTGGCATTCCTGTAAGCTGTCAGATAAAAAGCTGAACATCAAGAACGGAGTCGTTATCAGTACTAATTACGCCCTGGGATCACGTCTTACGGCAGGATTTCAAAAGTTACCCCCAAAACTGACCCAGAGGAGGGGTGGTCATAGCACAAACCAAAGCAGCATCTCAAAGTAAGAGCTAGTCCCTGAGTATTTTGTCCACCAAAACAATGTAGGTGTATCACGCTTACAAAATCATAAGCAAATCAGCTGCAGTTTTAGTGGTATTTTGATCCCACTTATGGCCTTTCAAGGTCTTATTCCTTTCCAGACTAAGTCTTTGGATGTGGTACAGCAGTATTTTCTTCAGTAGCTGCCCTTTTCACCTCCACCCCTGTGCTAAGCTTTAAAATGTTTTAGGCATCCTTTAAAATCAGAGGCCACCGCCTGAGATCCTTCTGATAATGGCTCTCCCCCTTTTTTTTTTATGACTTATCATGCAACTGTAAATCACTTTCTTCTCCAGTCAAATTCCAAATAAATCAGGCTGCCATCTTTTCATACATCTCTTTGGTGGCCTACGCAAACTTTGTTGCCAGACTCACCCCTTCGTTTAATGGCTATTTGGCTTCCTGTTCAGTTGCTTCTAGGCACGATAAACTACGCTGACATTTACAGCCCTTTGCCACTGACAGGCAATTTCCCCCCCAAAGTAATAATTTTAAAACTTAAGTTTAAAACTGTAAATTGAATGCAGGTTAGTGTTATAGTATTTTATGCACAAAAAGCTCAGAAGAATACTTTGATTTGTGGAATCAGGATGCCTAGACTTGCCCAAGAACAAGAGAATCTAAGCATTCAGTCTTGGGATACTGATTTTTAAAAAAAATAAATAAATTCCTGGATAGATATGTTTTAAAGAAAAGGAAGCCAATTAGGCAAGTCCTAAATTGCTAACAGCATTCAAATAGACATTCACCTGAAAGAACAGAAAGATTCATTTGTTTGGTGCAGAGGACCGATACATTTATTAGTACCACGAGCAGCTCCTATTTTCTTTTCCTTCATTACCTTGCATTTTGTTTGCCATCATTATGTTGTCTTTGGGGGGTTAATGGTATGTTTTTCTTAGTGCTGGAAAGTTGGGGGGGGTGCTTTGAATTATACGTTTTTGTTCGTTCATTCAATTTATATAGCCGCCCATCTCAGACCAGTGACTCTGAGTGGCTAACAACAATTAAAACAATCAACATTAAAAACAGTACAAACATTAAATATAATACAAATGCAGACAAGAGGTCTTTAAAAACTGTCGGTATCAGCACAACCATGAAACGGGGCCCTTCACACGCTCAGGCCCCCAGGCCTGGGCCTAAAGCCAGGTCTTCAAGGCCTTCCGAAAAGGCAAAAGCATTGGGGCCATCCTAATCTCAGGAGAGAGGATGTTCCAGAGGGCAGGCGCCACAGCAGAAAAGGCACATCTCCTGGTCCCCGCCAGCCGACATACCTTGGCTGATGGGACCCGGAGCATGCCCAACCTCCCGGATTGGATTGGACGGGTAGAAACAACTAGGCAAAGATGGTCCCTAAAGTAGCCCGGTCCCAGGCCATGAAGGGCTTTATAAGTGACGACCGGCACCTTGAATTGCACCCGGAAACACACCGGCAACCAGTGCAGCTCCCAAAGCAGTGGTGTTACATGTGCCGAATAGCCAACACTATTTACAACCCGGGCAGCTGCATTCTGTACCAGCTGAAGCTTCTGAATGTTCTTCAAGGGTAGCCCCATGTAGAGCACACTGCAGTAGTCCAATATTTTTCCAATATTTTTAACAAGAATAGTTTTCTTGTTAAGCCTCTTCAGAGAGAAAGAGGAGTGTGTTTTAATCCGTCAAATGTAAGTTTCTAGTTCAAATCATTTAAAGAAATGTATAATATTCTATAAGATTAGATGCTAGTAACCCAGCAGTGCGTTAACAGTCTAGAGCAGTGTTTCTCAACCTTGGCAACTTTAAGACGTGTGGACTTCAACTCCCAGAATTCCCCAGCCAGCTTATTGTCCCAACACAAAACTGCACAACAGAGAGGATGGACAGTGTGGTTTTGCCCAGGCAGATCCAGAAATTATTACTAAGAGCAGCAGGAGGAGAAAGGCAATAGAAAGGCAATTCGGTTGTGATCAAGAGGCTCATATGGAATGACAGTTGGGCAGCACAGATAGTGAGACTACATAGTCATTCCACAGGCCACTGGATTTTACCAGGGAGCCATATTGGGAGAAGATGCAGTATCAGCCCATCAGGGAGGTGCAGAAAATAAAGAAGACTCGATTGCATGACCCAGGCTCTGTGCCTCTAAAGCTGAGGAATTGGTCGTTAGCAAAAATGGCCACTGAAAAAGCCCCTCAGAAGGGGCTGAAACATTTTTTTAAGTCCAGAGCAACGAGAGAGGAGGTCCAGCATAATCAGATTTGCAAGATTCTGTTATTCTAGCCAATCTCGATAAACGTAATTTTAGCCTTCCTGTAGAGTTGATTTCCTGTTCTGGTCTACCTGATTGGGGCTGACAAATCTATATGTATGTGGACAGTGCTTTGGATCTGAAGGGGGAAGAGGTGCTTCAGAGTGCAGGTGGATGTGCAAGTTGCGCCTATGGCCAAATCCATTATGCAAATATGTGCTTTCCCAGGATTGCAGCGCAGCAGCCATAGAAGCCCAGGAAAATATGCGGCTGCTTTAAGGAACTACCAGCAGATGCTACAAGAGCACCTGGCATGCTCCAAAAGCCTTTTCCCTTTCACATCCAAAGCACTGCACAGCCCCAATGTCTGTGTCGATCCATCTATCCATCTATTCAATTCGTTCTTCAATTCTTCCTGTCTCTACCCCCATCCAACAGTTAGAGGATGCAATGAATGCGTTGGCTGAGGTGCAGCACATACAGCGTGTTACTGGCTTGTACAAGCAGCACATGTCTCAACTAATGGAATGGGTGTCCTTAACTCATGATCACTGGAGCTGCTACTCACCAGAACTACTGCAACTGGATGTAATTGCCACTCACTCAGGTAAGATTGGAACCAGGCAGAGGATGAACTTCTCTGCTCTGGAATCCACTGAACAAGTGATGTGAAGGCAGGTTTGAAGGACCTGGCTTGTTCTGAAGCCATTTGCTAAAATGTTCGATTCCAGATGAAATGGGAAAACATAGTAGTCCCAGTAGGGCTGCACATCCAGAGGTTTGTTCATCATTCAGCTTATTAAACTGAGATATGATTGCCAAAATGGACTCCACCTCTATCTTGCCTCTTTCCCTCTTCAAGTTTTTTGTTCCAAGTCTAAATAAATAAATACTGTAGAGGTTTGCTTCTTTCAGATGCTAATTTCAGCTGGTAAGAAAGCCACTGATTCCACTTATCTTCCTAGGCCCTGTGATTGCCGACGTTCTTAAGGATTTTGTTTTCATTCTTAAAACGTGCCTTCAGACTTCCAGGGACCCTCGGATGCGCCTGAAGCTATTTTCTATTTTATCCCAGTTGCTTCAGAAACCAAACGAGACGGTCAATTCAAAAGGGTAAGTCTGATTTCATGTCCTTTAGATATTCTACCCCATTGGACTTTGCATCTGAGGTCTAAAAACCAGAGGTAGTTTGGTTGTCTCACAATTATAACAGTCGTCTAGTAGACAGGATAAAGACCCAGTTGAAGGAGGCTAATAAAGCACCCTAATAGAAACATGAAAATTATACCAAAAGAACGGGTTGGCTTAATGAGAGTACAGAAGTAGAAATATCCAGAGCCACAGGCCAAAGCTTGTCAACAGACCTCTGCTTATGTTGATTTTACCACCCAACTTGTGTTTATGGTTTTAGAACTCTGTCTGCGATTATGCAAGCCTAGAAGCTTTTTATGTAGAAAAGGGGCTCTTAAAATTTTCAGCTTTCAGAAGGGGGATTTTCTCTTCAGAAACATTTCCTCTAGAGTTTGGCTTAAATCAAAGAAAGCAGAGGTGCTCTCAATCTGCTTTGGCTGAAGAGCTCTGCCCCTTGTTTGAAACTCCTCACCGCACAAGGCACCCACATGTTGCTATCTTATGCCATAAGGAGACGCAATTTCTTTCTGGCAACAAATTCAGTTGTGTACTGGATGTGGGATGAGGCATTGGTGGGGGGAGGCAAAGGGAGATAAATCTGAAATAGGCTGGATTTGGCTCTGGGGAAAGACAAAAAATGGGGGAAGCATTTTCAGAAGATACTCTTCTGCTCCCAGCCCTCTGTCAAGATTTGGACATTTAGGTGAATCTCCACGCACTTGGGCTGGAGCCAGAAGCAAATCTCAGAGCCTGTCTAATCTCTTGGCAAGCAGCTGTTCTTGCATTATAACCCTAACCTCTGCAGCCTCAGGTGGTTTGGGAGGCACGGGGGCTGGTGCCTTGATTTCTTTTGGGATTTTGGATTCCAGTTAAGAGAGTAAAGGAGTTGAAGTCCACTCATCTTAAAGTTGCTAAGGTTGAGAAACACTGCCCTGATCAGTTGGAATCACCTTGCTGGCCCTAAGGATGAAAGAGCATAGAACAGATTTCTTCGGACCTAGAAAAATAATTATAAAACAAAAATCCCCATGATATTAACTGGGAAAGTTGAGTCTCAGCTTAAATAGGACCAGTGTAGATTACAAATTTTATTAGGAGGAACAGACCTTCCCTCCCCTCTATTTTCTTGAAATAGAGTTATATCTTATTTGCTTTAAATCAGCATGGCTTCAGAACATTTCCACAAATCAAATGAGCACTGGTTTAGGGCCAGATGGCTACCCTTTTCCTTTAGATACAACAAAACAGTCATTACTTCTTTAAAATGAAGGTTATGACACATGAAAGTTGTGGCAAAGGCTCTTTCTGGGTCTTATTTGGTGTTCCAGTGGAATTTCCAAAATCTGCTGTCTTGTATTTTCGAGCACTACCTTGAAGGTTGTAGCTTTGCTGCTCCTCTCGTTTTGTCCTTCCGTTTATTTTATAAACTCACATGTAAAGAATTCCTCTGTCTTCTGTTTTTGAAACCTAACAGTTTAAAGTTGTGGGTGGGCTGCATCGAAGGCAAGCTGTTTTTGAAGAGAAGGCCATCGTTCATTCCCCCCCCCCCCGCTTTCTTGTTGCAACCTTCAAGGTAGTGCTCGAAAATACAAGACAGCATTTTATAAACTCACATGTGAAGAATTCCTCTGTCTTCTGTTTTTGAAACCTAACAGGTTAAAGGTGTGGGTGGGCGGCATCGAAGGCAAGCTGTTTTTGAAGAGAAGGCCATCGTTCATTCCCCCCCCCCCCGCTTTCTTGTTGCAAGCTGAGTAACCTTGCTTTATCAATAGTTACTAATACTGGATCCATTCCAGGTCCCTAGCAAAGAGAAGAAAGGTGCCATTTAAATTTCATTTTGAGTAGTAGCCAGATCACCATGTTTGAACTGCATCTTTTTAAACAGGTCTGCATTTTCTTTGAGCCATACAATAGGCCATATTACCTGGCAGCAGTTGGGAGGTACCTGTGTTAAAGGTCCAAGCTAACAGGTTCCAATGCTGCTTGTTAAAACAGCTCCTGAACAGACCTCTCATTTTGTTGGACCATTTGCCAGTGCTGTTCCCATTTTGCTTCAGAAATATTAAAAAGGGCATGCTTTTAAATGTTCTTCACCTTCCTGGAAGACATTCCAAGGCAGGGGAGTAAGGGGCTCTGCTAAAGCCCACCTTTTGTGGTTTTGACACATTTTATTTAAGGGATTAAAATAAGCCCTTACCAAAAATGCGAGCATCCCGTGGGTCATTTAGCCTAGACCACCTTGAAGCCCAACAGGAGTTGGAAATCACTTGAAAGAAGAAACAGCTCCATAATTTTTAACAGCGAATAAAAATAATAATGATGAATGCAATAAAATAGTCCTTTTGAAAAGTTGGTTCAGGCTGATTACATGACAGTCTGTGTGGTGGTTCTTTGAGGAGATGGCAAAGTGCAGTCGCTCTTTGCTCCGTAGCTCTCTGGCTAAAAACTCGCATTGTTATACATTGTTTTGTGTATCTGCATTTTGCATGCCATATAGGAAAAAGAATATGAATATATTGTCGTAGCCTGCTCAAAAAAAAAAAATCCCTTACATCGTATGGGCCGTACACTACCGCTTGTCCTTGGCCAAGCAGCCAATACAAATAGCTGCTTCAGGAAGCTGCCACAACCCAGGTGAATCTTAAATGTATTTAAATTCAAAATCCTAAGTATTCTCAACTAACTAAAAGGATCAGCCATTCATTTGTGGTTGGAATTTTTTTTTAAAGAACAAGCTTTAGTTAAGGGCAAATACATGTTATTCTCAACTAACTAAAAGGATCAGCCATTCATTTGTGGTTGGAATTTTTTTTTAAAGAACAAGCTTTAGTTAAGGGCAAATACATGTTACTAACTAAAAGGATCAGCCATTCATTTGTGGTTGGAATTTTTTTTTAAAGAACAAGCTTTAGTTAAGGGCAAATACATGTTAGATAATGCAGATTAGGAGAGGGACGTCAAAATGCAGATCAGCATCATGGTTAATGAACAGGAACAAGGACCTTATTAGAGAATATAAGGTTCCCTCAGCAGATGGAAACTTTGCCCAAATGAGGGGGAAAGGTATGCAAAAATCATACAAGCATATAATAAGGAGGGCAGGAAGGGACTTTGTGAAATGTACTGCTGATAACATTTAGCCTCCCAAATTAAACAACTTTATGTACATTAGACCTAGAGAGCAAGTAGGGCCATTGGATGTCAGCCCTTCACAATAGGCCAAGTCAGGAAACAGACACCACAATGAATCCTGGAACTACAATACTAAAGAGAATCAAGGCAAGGCAATCTTGAGTTTCTTTCTTGCTCACTCATCCCTTTCCAGGTTAAGCTGGTGTTCAACTCCTTCTTCAAGGCCATCTCTGTATTCCTCTACATTGGACAGCAAGGAAGTTGAATTAATTCTTTGCACCGAATATCCTTGCAATATTTCCAGGGTGCTTGAAAACACATCACTAATTCCAGAAGGTTTCCACCAAGAGTTGTAACATGTCCCAGAAGTCAGCGCTGGAAAGTAATCAGTGTAGAACAGATTTTATAAAAGAATACAGGAAATAAGCCAACTGTTCTAATATCTATCCTCTGCAAAGTCTTCATTTTGTCCATAATGTTTTTCACCAAACATACAGATCAGTGACTTCTGAGAGGCATTCAGTGAGCCATTCCGGGAGCAAAGCACTGGGCCCGGCTGGCCTTGATGCTATGATTTTATTGAGTAAAAGCTGTCAGCCTTTTGGCAGCCGGTTCTTACATGCCACCTGCTGGAGGAAAAAGCATATACAACAGGGGTCCCCAACTTTGTGAGCCAGTGGACACATTTCGTGTACAAGCATGCTGTGGACCCCCTTACAAAAAGGGCACCATCATGGCCAATTGCTTACTTCACATTAATTTCCCGCCAGAGTCCAAAAAAACAGCCAGTCACACCACACTTGGGTAGCAGAAGACAAGCCAAATCATTCCTCCAGGTAATGTCTGATTGGGTTCTTAACCAAATGGCAGGCAAGAAATCAATTCGTAATCGAGATCAAAATCAGTTCAAAATGAACACAGCTTGATCTTTGAAAAGCCGCCTTATTTAACCAAAGGTAGCAGTTTAAAAATGGGGATGCTCAAAGAACTTTAAAGACTTGAGCAAACTTGCATATAAATTATTTACATATATTCCTGTGACTATTTTAGAAATTAGATATTCTGTATATTGAATAAATAATGTGTCTCATACAAACTCCTGTCAAAATAAGGAGATTGATTACATCATCCCCACTGGCTGAGTATTGACTTCAGCGTTTTTTCCTGTGATCAAGGGTGAAATTATCCTGTGGGGATGGAGTGGGGAGAGAGGATCTGAATAGCGACCTTGTGTCCTAGGAAAATAGGGATGTTGTCATCCATGGAGCAAGAAAGAACATCCGGTTTAATTTGGTCAGTTGAACATTGGTATTGTTCAACTTCAAATGCTATATTTATTATCTCCATATTTGGAATTTTCTCTAAACATTCCTTCTGAGACTAAGGGCACAATAAGAACAAGTCTGTCCTCATTTTCTTTGGAACATTTGAAAGAGTCTGCTGCTTCTTGATTCATGTCCCACAGGAAACTCTGCAAGTTTTGTTGGTTCATCAGAAGTGCACTTCACCTGCAGCAAATGCATTTTTGTCTTTTACAGAGAGGCACGTTTGGGTCAGGTGGGGGAGGCCAGTCAGGCTTGCCTTTAAGCGGCACGTGGTGGTCACACTGCCAAATATAGGCAAGCTCAAAACAAAAATTAAATTGATTTACTTCTGTTTGTCTCACGACAGGTTTAGTAAATGCCATTAATGTGATTGCACTCCGTATAATTAATAATCTTGCCTTCCTTTCCCATTCAAAAGTATCGTTTGCTGCAGGCAGCCCTGGGACCTCTCCAGTTAGATACTTCTACGCAGAAACTTCTTCAGGTTAACCTGGGGTGGGTTCAACCTGAGAGTAAGGGGCCTAGGAAGAGGACAGGGAACAGGTCCCTTCCTTCTCCTGCTCTTCATGAAATGTTGCTTACACAAAGTCCACTTATTTCCCCTCGAAAGAAATGTGAAGTAATGAAATATTGTTAACATACCCTGTCATCAATTAGGCTCCCCCCCCCTTGTTCATGCACGGTTCTTCCTGTTCGGGCTATCTTGTTTTCAAGTCTAAAAATGTGCCTTTTCATCCTCCCAGTCATTCCAGCACGTTTGCACAAAGCTTTTTATTTGGCTCCTCTTTGTTTTTGGCTCCAGGCAGTTCTGTAACTACCTTGAGATTGTGATAAAAGACATCCTGTCTCCTAATCTTCAGTGGCAAGCTGGAAGAACAGCAGCTGCCATCCGCACCACGGCTGTAGCTTGCCTCTGGGCTCTGATTTACAGTGAACTCCTTTCTCCAGAAGAGGTAAAGCATCCCCCCGAACACCACATCCTGTCAGTCCCAGTGAAAACCCAGGCAGGAATATTGTCACCCAGAAATGCAGGTTACAGCCCTCTGTGCTTTGGTCTGAAGTGCTCCAGGTAGAATATTCTAGCTGGGAGGGGATGCTGCAGAGCCCCCAGCTTCAGGCTGTGAAGGGAGAGGGGGCCCAGAAGCAGGCTTTTGTGGTTATGGCTCCCTCGGTCTGATCGGCCATTCCCTCCCTGCCTGGTGACTTTGGGCCTTGTCCTACTGTTGTTCCAGAGGAGCATTAAAACCGTGCGCTTCCAAAAGGCCTTCAGTGCAGGGGGCAGCATTTAAAGCAGGTGCCAAGCGGGGGTTGGTGGTCTAGGGCTGAGATGAGGTTTTAGGTTATTGTGACTGCTTTTAATTTGTATTTCTTTGTGCTGGATATAAGCCCCCTGGAATCTACAGTGAACCGGGCAGCATGTGAGCTTATGAAATTAAATTAAAATAGTTGCTATTCTTGCCAAAACAGTGCTTAGAAAGGTGAGGTTAGACTGTGATTCTGCCCGAAAATAAAAGCTGTGCTATAGGTAGGAGTCAGCAGTGAGCCAGCAAGAAAATAATGGTGCCTTAACTCCCCCAGTCTGAAACCCTCCAGATGTGTTGGGCTGAGTGGGGGAGTTTGTTTGAAATGTGAGCATTTTTTTTTAATGCAAGCTTCTAATCTCCTTTTAACTTCAAAGGCAAATGCTGGTTCTATCCAATTGTTCAGCGAGAAGTCAACCTGCTCTCACTTTTCAATGTCTTGGGAAATGAGTCCAAACCATTAGGCTGACTGATACACATCTTGTTCAGTTAAATCCTCTGAAAATTCTAGTATTTTAAAACACACAAAACAGCTGAGAACAATCTTTTAACAACAGAAGTGGACTGCTCGGAGATCCAGATTCAAAGGACAAAATGTGATTGGCAGTAGGCAAACTTCAAGACAGCCTGGTTAAACTTTAAGGTTTTAAAAAGTTATTGGCAAACTCACTCCTTAGGATTCTTTCTGGAGAGTTTCTCCCCTTTAGGCTTTGAAAATGCCCAGCGTATTCTTAATCCAGGACATTGATCTTCAAATCAATCTAAGGCTATGTCCCAGTCTCTGAGCACATGGGGTTTTTCAGAATGGGTACACACCAGCTTCCTATCCACCATCACGGTTCTGAAATCCCAGATAAAAGATCCTGATTGTTTAAGGCAGTGTCAGCAAGCAAAGATCAAACACTTGACAGTGTTCTTTATGGGTTTTTTTTGTTTTTTGTTTGTTTTTTGATTGCCATAAAAGAAGGTTGGACAAGTCCGAAGAGAGACTAGGTTTGCAAATAGCTGCTATTGAAACGGTTTCTCCAATCCTTCATCTCCAGTGGAACGTATGTGCAGGGGCAAAACACTCTGCATTTCTCCTTCATGATTTGGGTGGTCTGTGGTAGAAGAACTTAGTGTTGCTGTTTAGATTTGGATATTGTGGCTGCTTACAGCCAAGACAATAATATTGACTTAACTGTCAGGCTAAATCATTGGAAGATTAGGCACAGAATCCCCACGAGGTGTACACGGGCTTTGGTTTTCCATTAGATGCAAATTTTCTGTTTCTTACTCAGAAGTTGGAATCAATTTTAACACAAAGCAGGAAGGATATAGATGGGTGGGAGGCAAGAGGAAGGAGAAAGGCAGGTATAAATTTGATTGCAAATAAATGTTTGCAAGACAAGACTGAGGTGGGATATTGAACGGAAATTTGGACATGAGCACCATCTTCTGGAGTAATAAAGAAATGCTGACTTGAACAAATGGGTCACCCTTTCCAAATATGTCTAATGGGCAATGGGTAAGAGGCTCATTAAATTAGCTTCCTTCGTTTACAAAAGAGATCTGCTGAAAGGAATACATTCTTGCTTTCAGAAAAAAATGGCGGCTCTTCCGAAAAACAGAAACGTCCTGGACCATAAGGCGTGTGCCTGGGACCCCGAGAGTTGCTTTAGGCACACCAAAGACCTCGGCTGTATTTATTGGAATTTTATTTCTGTCTTTCATTCCGACGACAATATTGCAAACTGTGTTTAAAACTCTCTGCTTCAAAGTCGTCATCTTGCAGCACCCGATTGCTGCAATCTAAGAGACATAATTTGAAGTCCCTCTTGGGGCCGTGCAGTGCTCTTGACCTTGCCTTGTAATTTCACAGTTGAACTTTCTACAGCTATTAAACAAACTAGAAGGAAAAAAAGCGGGGGGGACACCCAATGCAATAAACTTCCAAGTAAAAATCAGGAACAAGTTAGCCAATTTGCACACTCCTCCATTTTGTTTCCTGTTCCCTTAGCAAATCTCTTCCCCTCCCGTGAAAACAAGGAACTTTTTACCGAATAGTGGTTAAAACAAGAACAAGGAACCTATAAACGTATATCCTGCCACACTTTGCCACTCTTGCCCATTCACAAATATATAATAGAAATAAAACCACAGTTAGATGACTGCTGGAAGGACGCTTCTCTTTAAATATCTGCCTGTTAACATTTCCCCCAATTCTAACTTTTAGCTGGATCTGATGAGTTCTCTCTATAATAGATTTGATGTGAGATGATAAGTCGAACACCAAATGCCGATTACTTACCGCAGGTCCTTTTCCTAAATCTGGTGATTTCTTTTCTTGCTTTCAGCTGCGAAATGTTGAAGATGCCCTGATGCCTCAGATCATTGTGACGCTGGAGGAAGACTCCAAAATGACCCGTTTGATGTCTTGCCAAATCGTCAGAACTTTTTTAGACAGCTGCACAAAACAGTCTGAACTCAGCAAAATTTATCCAGGTATCTTACAGGGATAAATGGCAGAGATGGAGGTGGGTTTTTTTTTGCTTTTCCCTAGAATGAGAACCTGACCATTTAGAGCAACTTGCTTGTTTTTCAAACTTGGCAACTTTAAGATGGGTGGACTTCAACTCCCAGAATTCCCCAGCCAGCTGTGAGTGGAAGTCCAGACATCTAAACGTAGCCAAGTTTGAAAAACACAGATTTAGAGCCAGTCCGGTTCCTTGATGAGTTTTTTTCCTTCTGGTTTGCTGAATTGTGGAGGAAGTAACAACAAAATGTAGGAGAGGCTAAATGGAGAGAATGCCTGGGGTTATCAGAGCCAAACGTATCAAGTAATCTACTTCTGTGGCATCCACTGTAGCGTTTGATAACACAGGGATTTTTGATTTAACTTCCTATGTATGAAGGATCATACGAGGAAAAGCAGCTACTACTTCATATATATGCTAGAAATGTAACGTATCAACAGAAAATGATTCTGTTAAAGCTGGGTCAAGAAACCACTTTTCAACCAAGAATTATGGTAGGTGGCATAATCTTTTTCTTTTCTTTTTTTTCTTTTTTTTTTTAAGTTAAGCAGTTTTAGAAAATGAAAGAATTAAAACCCAAGTAAATTAAGGCAAGAAACTTTAAAGATATTTTATTCCTTTGTACTGCTATGGTGGGAAGCAATTTCTTGCCAATAAACTGGGATGGAATTGCCATGTTCATGAAGCCCAGGCAGTTACGCGGCAGTTTCTTTTTCAGAACTCTTGAAGCGTCTGGACGACGTTGCGCATGATGTTCGTTTGGCAGCTGCCAACGCCTTGACCAGTTGGTTCAAATGCGTAAATTACCCTGAGACAAAAGCCCTTCTGAAAACCAACATTGAGGTTCTCTATCAAGAACTGCTAGTTCACCTGGATGATCCTGACCAAAACATCCAGTCTGCTGTTTTAGGTAATCATGCTGTCCAAGAAGCAATTATTTTCCAGGATTTTAAAATAAAATTTAGTTAATCCATTTCTTGCTTTTCATGCCTTTTAAGCGTGTAGTCTTCCCAAGACAGCTTTCAAAATAAAGAGGATACAGCCCCCTCCCACATATTAAAGGAAATGGTGATGCTAATCAAATACAGTGAAGCACCTACTTTCTGGTGCTGCAGTCCAACGTAGCACACAAAAGAGGAGTTTCTTTACTGTGTCAGGATGTTTTGTGAAATATCTGAAACGCTTGTGAGAAATTATTATGTCGCCTTGAGCTGGTATAGGGCTTCCGTTTAACCAAAGCAGAGGAAAAGCATCTGAAAGAGGCAAGGAACATACACATCTGTGTCTTTCTGTATGCTTGGGGGGTGGGTGGGAGATTGGCTTTTTCATACAATGGAAGATGGTTTCCTTGATATCATTTCATTGGTTTAATCTCGTGTAGAAATGTACAAAGGTTAGGAAACCATATTACAGTTTCATCATAACAAGCCTTTCTTAACACGTGTTAGAAGGATGGTCATTTCTATCTATGTTGGTAATCACATCAAACTTCCTAATGGCACACTTCCACAAAATAATTATGACTCACTGGTGTTCTGAAATGGTTTTGGAAGAACTGCGTGCCCTTTCTGTTGGGAATGAACCTGCGTTTTGGAAAAAGAACAGCAAATGAAGGCCATTTTCATAACTCTAGCAACTTCTCTTTTGCAGATACTTTGAAAGAAGGAGGCATTCTCTACCCAGACATTTTGGCAAAGGAAATAGAAGCAGTTGTACACAAACATCGTACTCCAGTCTACTGTGATCAGCTGCTTCTGCACCTTGAATCAACGGGTTGGAGCTATTCTGAGTCATAAATGCCTCAATGGCATTTGCACAATTTGTGCCTTAATTAATTAAGCCTTAATTAATGAAATGTGTACCCCAGAAAAGTGGTACTTCAATAAACAGAGACATTTAAGCTGGGATAGGCTAAAATTCATATCCTCCCCTCTCTCCCACCCCTTACACACACTGCAAAAAAACCTTATATGTACAGTATTTATTGTTGCAGACCCTGAAACTAACACTTTTGCTGTTCAGTTAAAATTACAAGACGGCAATGTGTTAGATCAAGCTAGTGTGCAACTTGAAGGATCCACATCTAACAGAATGAAAGCTCTTTTATTCTATAGACATTTTTAAAATGGAGAGTTTTTTATTAAATTAACTGTAATGAGTCTAGATTGGAACCATTTCCAATATGTGATACTAGATATTCAGCTACAGAAGCAAAAAGCAGGGAACTAGTCTCTTTGCCTTGAAATTCAAGTTACGTATCAAATAATCATCTAGACCAGGGTTCCTCAAGCTCAGCAACCCAGAATTCCCCAGCCAGCCATGCTGGCTGGGGAATTCTGGCAGTTGAAGTCCACCCATCTTAACATTGCTGAGGTTGAGGAACCCTGATCTAGACCCTATCTTGAGCATGTTTTTTTATATTTCCTGGGATTATGATGGAATAAGAGCAGTGTTGTGGTATAAAAACTTAATCTAAGAAAAGGTTTTGATAAGAAGTTTCAAATGGATTAATGAAGTTAGTAGCTTTCCTTCAGTGCCTTTGTAAAATGAGCTCTTGTGTTCATTAGTTGTGCTTTCACTAACTGCCCTGATTTTAATTCATGCTCTTCATTTTATGACATTTTGAACGTTGCTGTTTGGTTTCTTAATACATCTTTATATTTTGTGATGAAATATTGTGTCTGTATAAAATATGTCTCAGGGATAGAGGGAAGAGATTTTGGCTTCTGCCATGTCAGTAACAACTGCATTTCAAACCAAGCATTCAGAACCCAGTGAAGATAGCAGCATTTTAAATGCAAGAGATTTCTAAACATTTAAATGTCAGTAAATTCTTCTGTATCAAGATGAGGCCATGAGGTGTTGCTAGGTGTTTAGAAGTTCTTTTTCATGTTTTTCTTTTCCTATATGGACCTATTCTCCTTGTTTTGCATTCTGCAAAGATTTAAGACCATGCCTGAATGCAAGCACAACTGATCATGATGGGAAGGGGAAAAACTGATAAGATGGACTGAATTTGCTTGTAAAAAAAATATATGTATAGCTTTCAGTAGGGAGACTGTGAAAATAGAAACTCAAGCCCTTACATTATCAGTACCAGCAGTCTCCAGAAAAAGTTCCCAGTGATACGAACTGCCAAAGGATGATAAATAGAGGTATCTGTAGAGACTTGCTTTGCTTTCAAAATTGAGTAGAGCAGAATTCTGGTAAGTCTCAAACGCTGACATCTCTGCTGATTGTTTAAAGAAAACCACGGGCTTTGAATTAACCGTTTGTGGGAATTCAAACTATCTGTAAATCAAATGCTACTTTTAGTTGAATAGGTTAATCTAATCTGTTAAATTAATATAATTCATAGATGTTCCTCTTCAAGTTGTTCAGGTTGAGAAACACTGGTTTATGCGACAGGATGATTTGCCCAACCTCAGCCAAATGATGGCTTTGCACAAAGTACAAACCAAGATAAGCTGAGGCTTTGAATTAACCATTTGTGAGAATTCAGACTATCTGTAAATTAAATACTACTTTTGGTCAAATAGGTTAATCTATTGATCTAATAGATTATCTATAATCTAATAGGTTAATTCACAGATGTTCCTCTTCAAGTTGTTCAGGTTGTGGAACAGTGGTTTATGGGGTAAGATCATTGCCCAAACTCAGCCAAATGATGGCTTTGCACAAAGGACAAACCAAGATCACACATACTAAGCTGAGGTTTGTTCGGAAGTTGGTGGAAGGGTCAAGTTTACAGGACACACCTCGGCTTCTCACTAACCATGTTAGAAAGTGGTGCTAAGCCACGATGCTATCCGGGTTGGCTTCAGGTTGAATGATCCACCAGGTTACTTCTGGCTTGTGGCACCAATCCCGGGTCGGGCTTCGGCAGACTCGAGTCGCAGAGAGAGGAGCCCGCCTCCCCGCGGACTACCATACCCATCATCCCGAGCGCGAAACCCCCCCCCCGGCGGCCCGTCCAGCTTCTCGCCAAGGAGCGGGGCCGGAGAGGGGCGTGGCCCAGGCGGGTGGGCGTGGCT